GAAAGAGGGAGAGAGCGAGCTAGGGAGACGACTCAGTCAGGAAAGAGCTTGCCATGCGAGACCGAAGTCTGGTACCCTAAAAAGCCTATACACCTGTATCCCCAGCTCTGAGAGCGCAGAAGCAAAAGTCCTCAGGGTTTGTGACTAGCCAGTCTAACTGAACCAAAGAGCTCCAGATTCAGTAGGAAATCCTGTCTCAAAAATAAAAGGGTGGGGGATGGATAGTGATTGAGGAAGACACCTAACAGTGACCTCTGGTCTCCACATATATGAACACACATATGCACATACACACACAGATAGCACCTGGTATCAAGTAATGAAGCCTCTTTCCTCTGTTAGCCTGAATCTAAAATATCACAGTCCTTCCATCTATCTTGCAACACTACGGGATTAACCCTACCCTAAGAAATCCCAAACATAACTTGGTTAACAAGTTCATATGGTCTGATTCCTCCCCAGCACCACCTAGGGTCTGCTGCTAGCCTCAGTGGACCCCAGCACCCCCTAGGTTATGCCCCTCTCTCAGTGCACCCCAGCACCCCCTAGGCTCTGCCACTCCCTCAGTGGACCCCAGCACCCCCTAGGCTCTGCCACTCCCTCAGTGGACCCCAGCACCCCCTAGGCTCTGCCACTCCCTCAGTGCACCCCAGCACCCCCTAGGCTCTGCCACTACCTCAGTGGACCCCAGCACCCCCTAGGCTCTGCCGCTCCCTCAGTGCACCCCAGCACCCCCTAGGTTATGCCCCTCTTCAGTGCACCCCAGCACTGTGGACTTCCCTCTGGACACAGGCTCTCACAACACTGTTGTTTTCCTTTTCCTAGAAAAAAGACCACCTCATCCTTCAAACTTGTATACTTTTTTAAACATTTTATTTTTATGTTATGTGTATGAGTGTTTTATTTACACACGTGTCTGTGCGTCACATGCATGTCTGGTGCCTTCAAAGGCCAGAACTCTAAATGGTTTTGAGCTGCCATGTGAATTTGGGGGATTAAACCTGGGTTCTCTGGAAATGCTTTGAAGGGCTGAGCCATCTCTCAAGGGCCAGTTGTAAAATTCTTTTATTATTGCTTTATTATAGGTGTGTGTATGATGGAGGTGAGAGCAGAACTTTGGGGAGTTGGTTCTCTCCTTCCACCTTCAGGTGAGTTCCAAGTATGAGCCAAGGTCATCAGGGCTTTGTAGCAAGCACCCTTAACCACTAAGCCACCTAACTGACTCTTGCTGAAATCTCTATTTACAAAGGGAGCTGTTGTTTAACTTAAATAGCACAATATACTCAAAGAAATACTATTAATAGTATTGACTGTTTCTTGGAATCTAGGTCAAAGATGCAGCTCTACCTAAATGTACCAGGCAGAGAGCTGGATTCCTGGGCAAGGCATGTAACTCTGTGGGCCTTGAGTCCATCTTCTCTACAAGTGGCATTATATGCCTAATATGAGGAGAGAATGAATCAATTCAGAATAGTGGTCTACAGTACAGAAGTCTAAATATCCTTGACTTGGTCAACTCAGTCTATTTTATTTTTTCTCAGCACCAAAACTTCTCAATAAGATTTTATTGTCTCATTACTAGAGAAATTTGTAAACACTGGGAACTGTACTCATCTACACAGGAGACAGTCAATAAAGATTTTTTGTAATTTATTTTTATTTTTAAGTGAATTTGTGTTTTGCCTGAATGTATGTCTATGCGAGGATGTTGGATCCCCTGGAAATTGAGTTACAGACAGTTGTGAGCTGCCATGTGGGTCCTGGGAGTTGAACTTAGGTCCTCTGGAAGAGCAGTCAATGCTCTTAACCACTGAGCCATCTCTCCAGCTCCCAATAAAGACTGTTTTACAAAACTCTCTGAAAAGGCATACATCTAATATACAGTATCCAAACCTGGTGTGGTGGTGCACACCTATAAGACCAGCACTTAGAGAGTGGGAGCAGGAGACCAAGGCCTCCCCCACGACACAGCAAATCTGAGGCCAACCTGGGCTAACTGAGACCCTGCCTCAAGAAAACAAATCCCACAAAAGAATAAGTATTCAAAGTATGAGTCCAAAGTCCCTACCTTTCCACTACAAACCATTTCATAAATGTGTCAGAGATTTTGCAAGAGCAAAAATAGATTGATTACAGGATGATAAAAATTAAAAAAAAAAACAAAACCAAAAGCTGTGTGGCAACACACGGAACAGTGAGAGCCAACATTCTGAGGCTAATACGTCAGAAACTATCCTTCAGCTTACGATGCCTAATGGACCTGTTTCCACTTCCTTAAAGAGAAAGAAATGAGCTTGGCTATGGAAGTACACACAGCACCCAGAAGCGAACGGAAGGTGGATCTCTGTGAGTCTGAGGTCAGTCTGGTGTACACAGAGCATTACAGAACAGCCAGGGCTGTACAGAGAGACTTCCATCTAAATCAAAAACAAAAACAAACAACAAAAAATATGAGGCAGATCATCTCTGAAGGGCCTTCCAACTCAAATTTCAAAATAACCATAAACCAAACATTATAGAGATTTTATACCGCCCCGGGGAGGTAGAGAAGGATTTGACACAGGTTTCTTCTACGTAACCTAGCGTGGTGGTGAACTCCCAATCCTACCGCAGCCTTTCCAATGACGTGATTACAGACGCACAACACTTCGCAACTGACTGAACGATATACATCAGAAAAGACAGGGAAGCTTAACAGGCACACAACAACAGCTCTCAAAGGGTTTTCACCCTTTGCTCAAGGAACAGTAAATCCACTTTAAAACTTAAGTAAGTCAGTGCGGCAAGTGACAACATATTCCATGAGTAAGGAGAAAGGAGGCTCACACAAACTCCAATCTGTGGGCCAAAATGTTACCATGACACCCAGGGTGACTGGCGGTGAAGTGAAGTATGTTTCTAACCAGGCTAAGTAAGCACTGCCAAGGAAGAGAAATAAATGCAGAAGGTGCGTTTCCCACGCAGTATATAGTGGTGCCATACAGTTTAAACAGGCTTTCGGCTCACACTTGTGGACTCTTAACAATCCTGACTTAGCACAATTTTCTTTTTCTTTCAAACCTTTGTATAAACTCGCAGTCTTTTAACTATTCACATAGCAATCCATATTCACACAGCAATCCTTCAAAGTCGCTGCAAAGTCAGCAAAGGAGCACGTGAACTGTAGAACTCTTACAAGCTGTCTGGAAAGCTGGGAGAAGCCAGCTCCGCCAGGCGCTGGGACCCCAGCACCCGCAGAGGGTTTCTCTCCATTGGAAGGCCCGTGCCCGCCCGGAAGAGCTCAGGCTAGAGCCCTGGGGCGCGAGCCTTCTCCCAGGGATGCCCGTGCCAGGACGGAGTGTGAGCACAGCCGGCTCGGGATATGCGGCCTGGAGCAGCCGGGATGCACCGCGGGTGCCGCCTGGGAACCCGGGGCAGCCAGGCCGTTGCAGGCAAGCCCGGCATTGCTCACCTTTAACGTCCACAGCAGTTGCTGCGGGGGCCGTCGCCAATGTCGCCCGGCCGCCACCGTCCCGACCCACAGCCCCGCCATTGTCGACCCTGCACACCGGCCGGCCGCTGACCTCTCACCCCCCGTCAAGGGGCGGGGAAGGGGAGCGTCCGGGATACGGCCAATCAGGAGCCTCGGGTCCTAAGCTCCGCCCCCGGATGAGTGGGTCGCGGTGGGAGCGGATCCCCGGCGGAGAGGCTCCAGACCCGGCCAGCGGAGAGCGGGCGCGCGTTAGGACCCGGGGGGAGCTGACCACGGTGCTCCCACGACCGCGGCTCCCCGCGCTGAAAAAGCTGGCTTAGAACCCACACTGGGCGGCCACAGACCCACCGCTAGCCAATCGGGTGCATCCATGCCCCTTTTAATTTCTTGCTGGGTATTTTAAAGCAAATCTCACCTGTAAACACCTCTGTATTGGGACGGGCGCTCAATTACTTTGCCTGCCCTGAGGAATCAGTTTGAAAGGGTCACGAAGTCAGGCAGCTGCTGCTTGGGGAGAGCAAGAAAGACAGGTTTGCGGACCGCAGAGAGCAGCAAGCTCTGCAGTAGGATCATAAAGGCCAAGGACTACCTACTGCACTGGCGCCAGAGGCTAAACCCAGTTTCCTAGTTAGGAAACTCGACTTCCCTTGCCCTTCCTTCTCTCGCTACGACTTTCACCACCGTTTTTTGCTCTTTGGATTCGTTTTTTTAGGTTTTGCTTTTATGACAGAGATTCCTTCGGTGAGACGGGCCTGTAGCAGAAACTACTTGTGTTGGTCTCCATTTTGTAAGAAAATTGGCCTCGATTTCAGAGATCCGTCTGCCTCGGCGTGTTTCACCACCGCTCAGCAGGGAGTATATTCTCTATAACCTTCTTTCCTAACGAAGACATGTTGGTGGAATCTGGAACCAGAAGTTAACCACATCATGAACCTGGAATATACTCTGAAGAGCCCAGGTCGCCGACACTAGAGCCTACTGCACTGTTATGCGAGAATAGCTAACCTTTCTTTTATTTAAATCTCTGACATTTTGTTTGTTATGGCAGCTCACCTCATTAACTTTACCTACGAACATGTGAACAATTATCATAAAAACGAGCAATACCCACCCTAATTAGGACACTGATGACAGGCCAGATACATGACTCCACCCGTCCGGCTTTGTGAACCTCTGACTTTAACTGGGGTTACTTAGAACATTGGTAACGGAAGGGTCGCTGCCCCAGCAAACCATTGCCATTACATATCCTCAGAGAGAGACAGAACCTTCTGAGCCCTACCAACCCTTCACAAGGGACCATTAATCGACTCTTTAATTAATGGAACCTTAATTTATGAGGTCTCATCTGAATAATCACAGATGTTCTGGTTTCGAAAGGGCAACAGCCATGTTAATGACCAGCGGACAGTGTTCCACAACACAGCTAAAACTGTATTCTAACCAGTTCATCAAGTCTCCGGAAATAAGGCCCCGCCATGAGGAAGCTTGAACCCCAGCTCTCCGTGCTTGGCTTAGGTTCCAGCGACATGGCTAAATGCACCAAGAAGGTCGGGATCGTCGGGAAATACGGGACCCGCTACGGTGCCTCCCTCCGGAAAATGGTGAAGAAAATTGAAATCAGCCAGCACGCCAAGTACACGTGCTCCTTCTGTGGCAAGACCAAGATGAAGAGACGAGCCGTTGGCAGCTGGCACTGTGGCTCCTGCATGAAGACAGTGGCTGGCGGGGCCTGGACCTACAACACGACTTCTGCCGTCACAGTGAAGTCTGCCATCAGAAGACTGAAGGAACTGAAAGACCAGTGAAAGTGTTACCATTTGATACACAAGCCTACTACAATAGTGCACAGCCAACTAAATAAATGGGTTAATTTATGTAAAAAAAAAAGAGAGAGAGAGAGAGAGAGAGAACCCCAACAATGTCAACCAGGGAGTGAAGGCTCTTTAAGGCTACTGCATGCTTTTGGTAAAACCATCACTTTCAATATCATAGACAGCATTGATGACCCTGTCACTGATGGAATGCACAATTCTAAGACAACACTTCCAAAGGAAAATTGATCTTTTGAGATGAACATCGCAAAACCTTACAGGATTTGCGTCATGTGGTTTGTGATGCTTACTATCCCCGAACCATGCTTCCTGTTAGCAATTATCTGAAAACAATTATTCATTATATTTCATCTAAGTGTTTTTAAGATTCAATTTATGCTTTGCCTACAGGTATATGTATGTATCACGTGTCCGTGGAAGTCAGAAGATGTTGGCTACCCTGGAGCTGGAATTATAATTGGTTGCCAGGCACCATGTGACTTCAGAGAGCTGAACTCAGGTCCTCTGCAAGAAATATCAGTTCTCTTAACCACTGAGCCATCTCTCCAGCCCCTTCATCCAGTTCTCTATCTGTGACCAGCAGAAAGTAATCCTCAGAGTTGTGAAAGTATATTTAGATCACACTCCAGATTCTAGGTGGTTCTTGAGAAGTCTAGTGCCAACTCATTCTTGATCTTCCATTTCCTGTTAGAACCATCCAACTGATCCTCTACTATTGTTTCTTGGTTATAGAGCAAAAATAAGTTGGATAGTAAGGAAAGTGTGGTGACTTGGAAATGATGTCCCCCATAAGTCTCTAGCATTTGAATACTTGGTCCCCAGGTAATGGCTGTTTGAGGAGGATTAGGAGGTATGGCCTTCCTGGAAGATATCACTGGGGACAGGGTAGTTCCCAATGTTTCCAGTTTGTGGATGCAGATGTGAGCCCTCAGCTACTGCTCCAATGCCATATCTGCCTGCCTGCTGCCATGTTTTCCATCCTTCTGGAATCATAAACCCTTCCTTCTTTTCTCTTTTCTTCTTTTTCCTACTTCTTTTTATTTATTGGTTATGTCTTTCATATCATGGATCTCCACCCCATTGATTCCCCTATCCCTTACAGCCTTCCCCCCAAAATAAAATAAAACAAAGTTCAAGAGAAAAAGAAAAAAAAAGAGAAAGAGAAAAAAATCTCATTCTGGAAGCTGTAGGATGGCACAATGAGTCACTGAGTGAACATTTTTATCCACATATCTTTACTTGCAAATTTTCATTGCAAAGAGTCACTGGTCTGGTTCCAAGGCTCTTATTTCTGCTACACTATCTATGCTGGGCCCTCTCTGGAGCTCCTCTTGGTTATCCTGCTCTTGCCCTGTGTCTTGGAGATCCTGCAGCTTTGGGTCTTCAGGACCAGTCCCTTCACATGCTCCAGGGGATCAGTCAGGGAGGATGTTGGAGTGGGCCAACTCATAACCCTGGTTCTGGGCCTGGGTTGATCAGCCTGCCAGCTCTCCCTTATCCTCACCACCAGGGTGAGCTCTCCTGCATTGCCCTGGCAGTTCACCCCTTGCAGCAGTGAGCAAGGGGCGGGGCCAGCTCTTCTGCTTTCCCATCCTCAGGGTCAGATCTCCCAGGCCTACACCTTCAGGGCCAGCTCTCCTGTGTTACCCAGGCATGGCATGGGGCCACTCTTCCTGCCTTGTCCTGCCTCAGGCATGAATGGGTATGTGTGTGGATCTCTCCCCGTCACCCATGCTGTCACATGACAGATGAAACCTTTCCTCCTATAAACTGCTTTGGTCATAGTATTTTATCATGGCATTAGAACAGTCACTAGAACTTTCTAGAGTCCTAAGAAGCTACATCCACAACAAACAGCAAGCTTGCACTGCATTCCACTGGCAGACCACAAACTTTGAACTACGTATATATGGCACCCTATAAATGCAGATTACTAGGAACTCTGCCCCCATAGCCATGACATATATACAAAGGCTCTACTTCCCTGACTTAGCCTGATCAATATACTAAGTAAGCAGAAGAGAAACTGTACATGATTCTGGTGCACGAACGGTAAGCTGAAGCAGAGCCTTGGTTGCCCCTGATGACTATTAGCAATGCTAGACTAGAAACCACCTAGAATTCTCTTCTCTGTGTTTCTTAGATTAGCGTTAACCAAAAGAGAAATCTGAAAAACAATTAGACTGCAAAAGTCAAGCTGTGACTATCACTCCCACCAAGTTACAACTGTAAGATATGAAACATTGTTTCCTGGAAGTTCTGTTAGTCCACAGTCTCCCCTTTGCCTGTCTGTCTGATCCAGCTCCTGTCCCTGCTGACCAGAAGCCACCATGAGAGACGTGGATGCAGCCCTACAGAAGTGCTAACCATACTGGAGTAACTTCTCGCACAATGTCCTTTCTCACATTCCCTGTTTAGCAGCCAAACCTTCTGATGTTTTTGGTTGCCAGCCTAGCCTTAAACGACTGAGCCATCTCTCCAGCCCAGCAGCCAAACGTTTTGTTCACTTCTGCCAATACTTTAGGCAAAATCACGTTGTCTTCTTTATCTGATTTTTGTAGAACAATCTTTGGCAGAGCTCTAGAAATAGCTGGAAATTCATTCTGAAACACTAAATACCCACCTTAAAATGATACTACATTCTACCAGTCAATGTAGCATCTCCTGGATATCAGTGGTGAGTGGGTATTTGTCTTAGTCCTACCCACTCACAACCCTCACCAAATGAGTCTAAACAAACCAAAGCATCCTCTCAAAGAATTCCATAATAGCGATAAGTAACCCTTTCCTACAAAGGGACACAATAAATAGGTAAGGCGTGCTCATGCACACTTAACTGCATGACAATCTTTTTTAAATTATAGGCATGATGACACATACCTATAGTTCCAGAACTTGGGAGGCTGAGCCTGGACCATGGCAAGTTCAAAACCAGCCGGTGAATACATAATGAACTCTTGGCTAATCTGAGCTACAGAGTGACACCCTGTCTCAAAAATCAAACAACGGCAACAAGGCGGTGAGGCAGGGGTTACATATCATCTATTTCCCACTACTGAGACCTCTCAGGCAGAGGTCCTAGGCTCAGGTATCTAGTCATGATATCCATTTCAAACTCACAGAGTTTATTAGTTGCTTTTCTGTTTTTGTGGGAAAACACCAAGACCAAGGTAAGTTATGCAAGGAGGAGTTTACTTGGGCTCATAGATGCAGCGGGATGAGTCCTCAGTGGTGGGGAAAAGTGTGGCCGTAGGCATGATTGCCAGAGTAGGAAGCTGGGAGCTCAAATCCTCAACCTCAAGAATAGAGCAGAGAAAGCAAAGCAGAAGCAGGACAAAGCCTCAAGTCCTCAAAGCCTACCCAAAGTGACACACGTCATCCAGCAAGGCTGCACCTCCTAAACCTGCCCAAACCACACAGACAACTGGGGACCAAGTGTGCTAATGCCTGAGCCTCTGGGGGACAGTTCCTAGTCAAACCACTACCATTGCCAACGGATTTTGTACCATGGTTTTGTTTGCTTTTAATATTCAGCTTTCTCAAAGGTATATATTGTATATTGTACATTTCTCTCATACCCCATTCCCCCTTCCCTCTTTTGTCTTGTCCCTCCCGTTCCTGTTTGTCTTTGTTCCCCTAAACAATTTCACTTCTACTTTAATACACACACACACACACACACACACACACACGATCTTCATGTGACTGTATAAATCTATGAACCACAAATGAGGGAAAACATGCAATATTCATCTTTCTAAGACTGGCTTAATTTAACATGATTGTCTCCAATTGTGTCCATTTTCCTGAAAACTATTTAATTTCATTCTTCTTTATGGTTAAAAGAATCTATTATATATAATTGGTTTTATATAATGGAGTTGATTCCTGGGACCCACATCATGCATGGGAAGAGAGAACCAACTCCCATAAGTTGTTCTCTGACGTACATACACACACACAACACACACACACAGAGAGAGAGAGAGAGATCACATTTTCCTTATCTCTTCTTCATTTAAATGCTGTGGAAGGTAGCACAATAAACTGGAGTGGCATGGTTGGCCATACAGAGGTGTGTTTTTAGTTTTTTGTGGATCTTCCACGCTGACTTCCATAGTGGCTAGAATAGTTTACTTTCCACCAGAAGTTTCTAAGCATTTGTTATTGTTGTGGTATTTGCTGTGGTCTTGCAGGAGCTATGGAACTTTTTTTTTTTCAGGCAATTTCTTTAAGTTCATTCTCAAGGCATTAGAAGATCTTGCCAGTGATTCTTCAACATGTTAAATTTCTATTTAAATAAGCTAGACTTCTCTTGTTTGCTAATAAAGATTCCTAACAATAAATGAAATTAGTTCAGCACCCTAAATAAACAGTATAAGGTCAGAGAGCTGCCTTCTGTAGCAGGCTTTTTCTTTTTTTTAAGATTTATTTATTATGTATAAAGTATTTTTAGTATTCTGTCTGTATTCTGCCTGCAGGCTAGAAGAGGACTCCAGATCTCAGTACAGATCGTTGTGAGCCACCATGTGGTTGCTGGGAATTGAACTCAGGACCTTTGGAAGACGAGACAATGCTCTTAACCACTGAGCCATCTCACCAGCCCATAGCAGGCTTTTTCTTTGGGCTCCCAGCTCACACGTAATGACATGGACACTTAGTATTAATTATGAAAGCTCACCCTTAGCTTAGGCTTGTTCCTAACTAGTTCTTATAATTTAAATTAATCTATATCTTTTAAACTAAGTTCTTTTACATGGCTCAGTTACCTTTACTCTCTGCTGCCCATCCTGCTTCCTCCAAGTCTAGCTGGCAACTCCCTTTTTCCCTCTCCAAATCCTCTGTCCCCAGAAGTCCTACCTAACTTCTTCCTGCCTAGCTAATGGCCATCCAGCTCTTTACTAAAACACTTGCAGCAACACATCTTCACATAGTGTAAAGGAATATTTCATTCAATAAGTGCATTTAGTTCATCTGTTCCAATCAGTATTAAATGATATGGGATTCCCCTCTGTATGCTGTGAATATGTTTTATTAC